GATGTAAATGTTCCCCCTCCTTGTGGGAGAGTTGGGCGGTGATATAAATATGATTTATAAATAAAATAAATAAATAATAAAATAATATCTAAATGTGTAAAAAAAAAAGAGGAGCTACCTGTGTAAAGTTTATGCAGCCATAGGGAGAGTAGACTGGTACTTATAACTCCATCAGGTGTTAGAAAACCACTGCATAAACAGGATGTACTGATTTTCCTTGAAATGGACCCTTAATAAAATATACTCTCAAATAGATTTAAAGTCAAGATTTTAATAGTAGCAAATATAATTTCAAATCTCCTAATTTTGGTATTTTCCTAGGTGTATGTGTATGTGTGTGTGTGCCTTTTTAGTTAATCTAGATTCCAGGTGACTACATAGACAAATCCATGCAGTTTTCTTGGCATTATTTTCAGAAGAGGTTTGCCACTGCCTTCTTCCTAGGACTGGGAGAGAATGACTGGCCAAAGATCATTCAGCTGGCTTCCATGCCTATAGTAGAACTAGAACCCAGAATCTCCTAGTCCAGTATCATAACCACTAGATCAAACTGGCTCTCATAGAAAATTAGCATTCCAATTTTCCACTTCAGTACTATTTTCAGCTCTTTTCAAAGACAGCCCATCAATCTTCTGTTTTGAACCATTTCTGCCAAGCATTTTAAGGGTATATAATGTTAGAAAAATCTGGGTATAAGATTTGATCCTCCTTTCTGCTCTATAGGAAGAATGGGATAAATTCATTATCTGTCAAACAGACTTCTGGGCATTGGTCTTTTGAATTTTTTCCCCCAAATAGTATTATTTAATACTAGTAACAATGCCATTAAAAGCTCTGGATTTAGAACACCTGAAAAGAAAGTACTAACTGCAATTCTGGGTAAATTATCTGCTAAGATTAAAAAAAAAAAAATTGACAATTTTCCCCAAAGCTCCATCTAGTGGCCTATTTATTGAGCATTCTGCAAAGTGTTGTTTTTAAACAAGGAGTTCAGTGACCCTCTGAATGTTGTCAATATCCTTTACTCCAAGTTTCTAGTAAATATTAAGTTGGCATTGAGAAGGACTTAACTATCCAAAATACAAGGAGTTCCTTGTTGTACTGTATTCTTGACTCTGGCACTGACTTTTCTTGTCCTCCTTGTACCCTAGAATGGGGAAAAGAAAACAAATCTAAAACATTATGTGCTCCAGAAACTCCACTTGAGTAGCACTGCTTGTCTTTTAAACAGCAAGAAATAAATCATGCTTTGATTTCACAATGCTTATTTTCAGCCTAAGTACGTATGGTTATCAAGGTTTCAAACTCAAGTTTGTTCCAATAGCAATACACCTATTCCATTATACCTGTATATTCTTCCTACAATGCAGGGGATGTTCAAATACGATGAGAATCTGTTAATCAAAAGTAAATTAAAAACAGTTGCATTCTTTATAAAAAAAAATAAGGCATACACACACACACACACTCTGAAGATAATCAGACTACCTAATACTGATACATAGGAAATGATGTATATCTGTATCATTTAATAATTGCAACATAAAATGGGAATTTCTGGTATGTGAACAATGGGTTAAACATTCATAATCACAAGTATTTATGTAAGGAAATAGAATCAGCCCACACATTAATTTGCAAAGACCCAATCTGCAGGGAAACTCCTCTATAACAAAAGTTTAATTGAAGTAAGCTACTATGCTCTGAAGCAGCTCAATTTATTTCAAGGGACACCTTTTAAAGGCATTGTGCCCCAAATATGGGGGAGAAAAAAAAAAGCAAAACAAGCTGGCCTATTTTGCAGTATTTCCATACTACAGTAATGTATTCATCCTATGCTGCAAGGAACTGCTGGCCCCCACCCTTTGGAACATCTTGCCCCCGGGGGTGAGACCGGCCCCCTCACTCCAGGCCTTTCGGAGCGATTTGAAGACCTGGCTCTGCCATCTGGCCTGGGGCGGGGAGGGAGGATATCAGAAATGGG